ATGGAATGTGGTACTACATATATATATATATATATATATATATATATATATACACTGGGAACTCGATTTCTGTCAAAATGGCCTTTTTATAACCAAAATAAATTGTATAAATGAACTAACCGTGAAATTATTTAAAATGATGCTAAATAAATGTTGACACTCCTTTGACTGGTGTGTGTTATGATTGAAGTGCTCTGTATTTGGGATTGGTCTGTGCTCCTGACATAGACAGAGGAGTTGCATCAGAGCGCAGGACGCTGCTAAAGTGCAGCACATGTTCTTACTTAAGATAGTTTCCGCTGCTGCCGCCGTGCACAAGCCACAACAAAGAGCTGATAGATATCGAGACGCTGCAAGCAGCTCCAGTGCACACTTCATTTCACAAGAGCATGGGGCAGGCCTGAGTCAGATAGATGCATTGCTTTGTGCTGCTGTTTCAGAGGTTTTCACACTTCAGCTGCAAAACAGACACGCCGTGTGTGCTTTCTATTCGCATTTATTTTGGGAAATAGATTTGAGTTACATTTGGAAAGATTACTTGTTTGGATGCATGCAATGGTTGCAATGTCTCATAACTCTAATGCGCTGCACTTTATGCAATTTAGTAACTATTTTAATTTGATGGCTTCCACTAGGTGGCACCAAAGACATCTGTGCAGGAATAGACTAATTCATACAGTTTTCTGTTCAGGTAAAAAATATATAAATACTCTCTTGAGCCAGTGTTTCTGTGACTCGAGCGGTTTCACCGAGAAGCAGAATAAGATTCAGAATAAATCAACCGTGTGTTTCTAGAATGTTCACATTTGAAAAACTAGTATTTTTAATAGGTTTTCCCTAGTAAAAAGTAATGTTTAAAATGCATTTATTTCATGCTAGGTATAGTTCAAATCATATTTACTGACATATCACTCAAGACTTACTGATATAGAAATTATAATTAAACTTTATTTGGAGTAGCCTACTACTCGTGCACAACCCACATTTCCTAATATTAAGCCTAAAATGAGTTTTAATGTCACTGTTGATGAGGATTGTATGATATTTGAATAACAAAGGTCTTTAAATGCAAGATATTTAAAGTATACTCGCAATAGTTCCACAATCAAATCTACTTCAGTATATCTTTTAGTTGGACTTCAGCACAATTAAAGTACATTAAGCACAAAATGAGTTATTCCGATATAGCAGACGTGAACAATACCAGTTTAGTATACTAATAGAACAATTGCAGGGTATTTTATTAAGCACATAAATATGTAAATGCATTTGTAGTATTCTTAGCACTAAATAAATGTATTTCAAATACATTTTAGTATGTTTATTTTTCACTAGGGTTATTTTTGATACAAAATCTAAAATGTCCATTCATATTTGTCTTACTTTGAATACACAACAACACCGATATTAATCATTATTTAACAGATGCTTTTAATAACTGCAGCGTGTGCACATGAAAGTGTGACGTCAGTAATTAAACCCAGCGTCAGTGCAAACTAATCTAAAATATACCTGACTAGCCAGCTAAACCGGCTTCATGGTACATGTTACGAAAAGGTCCATCTGGGGTGTGCCTTCTGTGATGTCATTTCCTGTTTTCTTTCCAATGTACAGTAACAGCTTTGTGCAACAGTCATAAATAGCAAATGTGTATTATTTTTCAAGAAATAATAAAGCGTTGCTAAACATTTTTTTTTTTTTTTCACCTTTTGTGTGATCACAGAATGCTAATACTACCTTAACACATTTTCAAGCCTTCTAATATATATATATATATATTAGGGGTGCAACAGTTCAACTTACGGTTCGGTTTGTGTCACCGTTTTAGAGTCATGGTTCTACCATACCGTGCTATGTTTTGGGAAAAACCTATACTGTCAAATAAAAACCATCATTCTTAATGCCACAATAGACCTCCACAAGTTCAAGTTTGTTAAAAGGACATAATGTGACGGATATACTGCAGGAGTGAGAGATGATGCTCCTCTAATGAAGGACCCCAGCGAGTGAACACATCATGCTGGGCCCCAAACACAGTTTTATTCAGAAGATGTTCATCATGTACAAGGCCACTGATAAGCCACTCGTCTACTTCTTTGCCTTCATATTTCAAGCAGCTGGAGAGACTACAACTCTTCCTTCCCATGTAATGCTGGTGAGACACACCTTGATCAATATCACACCGTCTTCATTCATCACAGGCCCCTGCCTGAGCACGCTTTCTCCCAAGGGTCGTTCTGTTTGCTCTCTGTCACTGATGGAGCTTGGGTTCTGTGCCACTTTGGCTTGACCTGAACTGAATTGAGCTGGATGATGGAACTGTTGTCTTCTGTGGAGCTGCTTTATAGGCAGATCAAACTCATTCATAATTCATGAATTTTGCAACATCGACACTGAATAACTGAATAATGACACTGTTGTCGTATACAGCTGCTTTACAGCAGAGCCGCATTTGTGAAGTTTAAAAAGTTGCTCATTTAAGTCCTGAGCAAAATTAGAATAATACATAAAACATTTGCGTATAAAACTATGTTTTCTGTTCAAGAGAATAAAATCAGAAGCTAACACAAACTTGCTGCAACCGAGGAAACCTGTGGCTCTTTTTTTTCTCCTTCATAACATAAGAATTGACTTGTGCCAGAGGAAACACAGTAACAAACACTGTCATGGTATCTTGTGTTCGGATGCCTGATGTTTGGGAATACAATCCTGTGAGACAGTTATGGGAAGTCATTATACCAGATCATTTTTGATGACAGACTTTGGCTCAGGCATTTCAAAATGATTAAAATAACATTTGAGATGGTGTGTGAAGAGATCGGTACACTGGTTAGTCCAGTCTTCCAGTCACATGATCTATTGAGGCAAAGTCACATGACTTTGTTTTGATGCACATGGAGGACATACAATGTGTTCCCATCATAGTTTATTTGCATGTCTTCTTATCGGACAATATATATATATATGTATATATCCAACTCAATTGAGGGCATATGTTTTTTTATGCACATTTTTAGCTTTTATGCACATCTTTGCATTTCCATTCAGCATTTTTTAAGTTATATTCCAAATTTGCATACAAATAGATGCAAACATAGCTGGTTCTGTTACTTTCCTGTTTAATCCTGTGAAGCTGCTTTGAAACAATCTCTATTATATAAACCACTATAAAAGCAAAGGTGACTCGATGTCCTGAAACACATCCGCGCCACTGAGACGTGTGTGAAGCTGGGAGTGATTCCACAATATTTCACCTACAAATGTAAATCCTTCTCCTCATTAAGGTTGTGCAGTTGCTTGTTGTCTGTTGTTTTCTCATAGCAGTCCAGATGGAAGGCTTGAGCGTCGTCTGTGAATTGTTCGAGGCTGCGACTGACAGACAGACAGCTGTCCTGACAAATCTGACTCAATAATAAACACTGACGCAGACCTGCTCGAGTCAACAAAGCTGTCCACACTGCAGTCTGCAGCACAGAAAACTATCAGTTACTCTTATAACTAATGTCCCAACAATCCACTTACAATGAGTTGTCTACATGGCAAGTGTGTAAAAACAAACTGGAATGTTTACAGTGTATTCATGAGGCTTTCCTGCATTGTGTTGCTTGCTGTGTGAGCTGTGCCTTTATCTTGACTGCAAACTCAATTTGATCCTCTGCAGGGCAGCTTTGTGGGCATCTGTGAGACTCGACTCGAGAGAGACACAGTGCAGCCCTGCATTCAGCTTAGCTTATCCATCAAATACAGAGCAGAGGAGAGACAGAGTCCCATATTCCCTGTGTTATAGGGACCAAATGTCCCCACAAGGACATTTTTTGGTCCCCATGAGGAAACAAGCTTTACACAGAATTAAATTTTTTGAAAATCTTTGAAAATACAGTATAGAAATCATTACACCTATGGAATGAACCCATAAAATATGGAAACCTGTGTGTGTGTGTGTGAGAGAGAGAGAGAGATAGTGTGTGTGTGTGTGCGCGTGTGTGTGTGTGTGTGTGTGTGTGTGTGTGGGAGAGAGAGAGAGAGAGAGTGTGTGTGTGTGTGTGTGTGTGTGAGAGAGAGAGCGTGTGTGTGTGTGTGTGTGTGTGTGTGTGTGTGTGATTTTTTTATCACACACACGCTTTTTTTATCCACTAGATGTCAGTGTTACATTATATTTTAATATTTTGTTTAAAATCTATTTCGTTGTGTGTATTTTATTGGTAGGCTACTTTCTAAATTTAACAATCTGAATGTTGTTTAGGAAATTCATTATTGAAAATGTATGATTAACACATCAAGTAACGTGAACAGAAAACAACGCCAAAACATGCATAATACTGTTAGTAACAACAATAATTATGTTAATAGTAGATGAATAAGGCGATTAACAATAAAACTTATATATATATATATATTTTATTAATGTAAGTGAATATAAAATAAATATATGGAAATCAACACAGAGATAGGCTACATAAGTAATTAGCCTTCATTCTTCATAAATCACAAAGTAAACAAAGTTTTATGAAATGCCTCAAAATGTATTGTTCTTGTATTGTAGAAACAATAAAGTATAATAAATTACAATGAAAAAGACTAGGTGTAGAAACGAGTCTCATGAAGTATGTGCGGATGATGCGGGGGCGGGGCTAGCGCTGATGACGTCACAGCGCAGGGGCGTGGCCGGCTCGCGGGAATATTATGGTCCGGTTGCAGAGCGCGCAGAGAGAAGCGAGAGCAAAGCCATCATGAGGCTTTATCATTCACATCTGTTTCTTCAGTGGACATTTTCGTGACAACACCTGACATTTACTCACAGATGGCTCTTTAGACGGCATTTTTCCACACTGCGTGTTCCGTGAGACTTACGGTAGGTTCGTGTGAACTGGACGTTGTCTGTATGTCTGGGACCTTCGATTATAGACAAATGAAAGGGACATCATCTGAAAAGTCAGTTTTTGCTTGGCAGCGTTTGACATCGGCGAGCTTTTCTGAGCCACGTGTGCTTAATTTATATTTTTAAAACTCATTACTGAAGGATTATTATGCGTAAGCTGTTCACTGGGATATATCTGACACTACAATATTGATATTTTAAACTCAACTCACATTTAGTGTAAAGTTCTGTTCCTAAATTGACTTTTTATAAAACTTTAACCAAGTATTATCTTATCTTTAGTAAACATGGCTTTACCTGACAATGCTATTAGCCTTCCTGTCCAGGAACTGGCCTTTCCGGAAATTATCGAGCTGAACGTCGGGGGTCAGGTGTATATCACCCGCTACTCGACTTTAACAAGTGTGCCGGACTCACTTCTGTGGGAGATGTTCAGCCAGAAGAGCACCGAGAGCTTGGCGCGCGACACCAAGGGTCGTTATTTCGTCGACAGAGACGGATTCCTGTTCCGTTATATTCTGGATTACATGCGAGACCGGCAGCTCGTCCTTCCGGACCATTTCCCGGAGCGAGGACGGCTGCAGCGAGAGGCTGAGTTCTTCAACCTGCCTGAGCTTGTTAAGCTGTTGGCACCAAAGCTCAGCAAGCAGAACTCTCTGGGCGACGAGGGCTGCCAGAGCGACCCCGAGGAGCCCTCGCCAGGGGCCGACGTCGGGGCCGTTGCCTGCTCCAGCGACGGAAAGTGCTCCGGGTTCATCACCATCGGCTACCGGGGCTCCTACACTCTCGGCCGTGATAGCCAAACAGACGCCAAGTTCCGGCGAGTGGCTCGGATTATGGTGTGTGGGAAAACGTCTCTCGCTAAGGAGGTTTTCGGGGAAACGTTGAACGAGAGCCGCGACCCCGATCGCCCGCCTGAGCGCTACACGGCGCGCTATTACCTAAAGTTTACTTTCTTGGAGCAGGCTTTCGACCGGTTAGCCGATGCCGGCTTCCACATGGTGGCCTGCAACTCCACGGGGACGTGCGCCTTCGCTCACGAGCAGACCGACGACAAAATCTGGGCCAGCTACACCGAATACGTATTCTACCGTGAGTGATCCTAAACCCTGCCTCCCGAGCCAGAGATCATCTGCAATAGATGTAGAAGCTTGTCCATCAGACTTTCCCACACCAGAGCCCCTAATGCCTCTTCCCCGCGGCGCTCGAGTAACCTTTCTTCCCTCCAAATCTTCCCCTCACCGAGAGACTGCCTTCCCCTTGCTCAGCTTTTGATGCTGTTGTCGATGTGTTTAGTCGAGCTAAAAGTTGGGGATGAACTGCTAAACTAGGCTTGAGCCATTCGAAAGGGCTTCTCTTATGTCGGACAAATTATAAAGCTTTTGAGTTGTTCGTGATGCGAAATAGAGATGTGATAGATTATGTAATTTGGGTCATTATTATTGTATCTAACCCTTTAAAAGGAGAGAGAATCCACTAGGGTATAAAACCATCTTTATGGATAAATGCAGACCAAAAGATGAAACCATGCAGACCATTTCAATTGGAAAAGCTGTTTTGCATTGAATAGCCTTTATTAATGTGTTAAACTATTTTTAACTAGCATTAATGAATAGTGTCAAAGCAGGTTTGGATTTAGTAAGCATTAATAAAAAAGCACCTGAAAGTGCTGTATTGGCTGTGTTATTAAGCTTTCTGTGTTTTTCTTGTGTAAGACTAGAGGATACGAGTCCAAACACTGTGCTCCGAACACTCAAGTTTTATTTTTAGGTCCACCTGAGTTTCCAGTTAGCTATACTGCATCTTGTTGTTGCCTGCCATCTGTGTAAATTCTTTCATATGCTTATATTATTGTTGTTTATTAAGTTAAATGCTTCACATTTTAATTTATCGTGTTAAAATGTAAAGATGCATATATTTAAATTAATTATTCAAGTGCATTTAGTAATTGATGTTGCCATAGCCTGTTATGAAACACCGTATATTTTTTAATCACGCAAATGATATTAGTTAAGTAGATATTTTCTTCTTCATTAAACGCAGTGCCGTTGTTTGACACCGAGTTAGACGGCGACTTTTAGAGCTTTAAATTTCAGGTATTTCCATTGTAACCTCAGGCCAGAATTGCCATTAACTCAAACACAGGCACAAAATCTCACAGTTATGAGATGTCATTTGAGATAATACATATCAACCAGTAATTTATTTTATGTCAATCAGAAATGCACTTAATCCCTTAATCGTACTTTCCTGATGTTGTGTTTTAAAGGTTATGTCCGGGCATTGTTTAAAGTGCTAGCCTCAAAGTGTCTTTATGAAAGCATGCATTATTCATCGAGTATATTGTCCTAAATATAAAACCAGTGTATGTATTCAATGTATTTGCACATTATCAAAACAGGCCAAAATGATATACAAACACACTTCCTGATATATCAATGAAATGAAATCAAACTTCAGTTAAAGCAACAGTTAATGCTCTATTTAGACAAGCTAGTCTTTCATGTCTCAGTTTCAGTGCCTCATTCACCAGAGAAATTTCTACATTGAAGGCCATTTTTGCAAGCATAAAAGATTAAGACTACACTGTAAAAAATAACAGAAAAAGTACTGGCAGCTCATTACACACGTCATTATCCATTAATTTTACGGACATTTCTGTTAACCCTAAAACACAATGCAATGAAGTGTAAAATTCAAAATACTGGTAAAGCACCTGTAAAAAATATATACGGAAAAAAATCCTTCAAATTATACAGTATTGTGCCCTATTTTTACAGATTTTGTTTTTAGTGTGTAGTAATAAAAGTCAGAATCAGAATGAGATTCACTAAAATATATATATATATTTAAATGTGTATTCTGTCATATGCATTCTGATAGCATTTTTGCAGGGTGAATATTGATACTGCGTAGATCTGCGTTGCTCAGTGAAAGTTAAAGGGGAAATGGAAGCATTACATCAGATTATTAAATCTTTCTCCCCCCAAAGTCTCTTCTCCACTGAGTCCTCTGTTATCACGCTGCTTCCCAATTTCTCTCTTTCATTTTGCTCTCTCGTTCCCTCCGCGGAGACTTCAAAGCGTGAACATAGGCGAGGCCAGAATGAAAACCATGCAGGACAAACCTATAACCAGCTCAGTCAAAGCAGATTACCCAACCAGCCTTTGTGTTGCTGTGTCTAATCCATCTAATTAAGTTTGCGCTGGCACGCTGAGCAGCTCGCATTGTACTCCAGTGAGGAACTAGGGAAAAACATATTTAAATATCTTTTCAGCTCAGCAAATATAGAGATCGCTGATACAAGAGCTGAAATGATCCAGATGTCTGACACATTAACATGCCTTGTTATACGATGAGAGATAGATGTAGATGTACAGGTAACCAATATCAACATCACCTAAACATAGTCAACCATCTAAAACACTGCTGCATGGATTTATAGATCCTGGTATTAAATGTAATTAATTTAAAAACAATAAACCCAAGTAACATCACAGACAATGTGTCGGAGACGTCCTAAAAAAAAAAAAAAAAGATTTGGAGCACCAACTTTTCACAATTCCTGTTTTACTTGTAAATGTGTTACACCACAGAAGTCAAATGGGTTAGGAATGACAACTTATTTGAGTGTTTGTAGATGCATAGCACATCTGAGCTCTGTGCAATAGCTAAATGGTGTAGTGATTTGTGACCGTAAAAAGCCGATCCTTCAGTCTGGCCAGTGGTGTAATTGTTGCATTGTGCGCTGGTGTTATTTATAGGGTCCAGGCACAGCTATTAAGCAGCCGTTCTGCCTCCCTATAACTCCAAAGGCATAATCATAATAGGCACTAAGGGGGATATATCCCCCCAATCATAATAGGATTTTTCCATTTGATTTACTGGAATCATTAATGTCTTCGGTCGAAGGCACACACAGCTCTTGATGTGTGGAGGGGGTGATGATGCCTCGATCGGTCAGCTTTACTAATTAAAAGAGGCAGTGAGGGAGAGGGACTTGAAACTGATCTGCTGACGTTGAGAAAGAGAGGCAGAACCTCTTTAGCCCCTGAACCGATAACCCGTGCTGTTCGGTCGTTGTTTCATTTCTGTTTTAAAATGTGACAATTTCCTGCCTTTCTGGGTTTGCTCCAGAGTAACAGATCTGAACACTCCAGAAGAGACTATGTCTCAAACCCAGTTCATTTTGTAATAATTCATTATGGACACTCATGATCTGAGCTACTAGTCCGATAATCCTCAAGGAATGTAAAGATTGGTATTGCAATATCTGTCATGAATTGGAAACGGCAATCCACAGGGACCCTAATGGTGTCAAATAAGAATCCAATAATATCACTCAAACTGAAATGCTTATTGTTTAGTGCAACAGAATCTTTATCTATTTGTAGCTGATGATTGGAGGATTCTTATATGTTGCTATTACAAACCTTTGGCTCCATGTTATGATAGAAATTGCTTTAACATTCCTGTACATTCCCTTTCGCTGTTGCTGCATTTTAAAATTGTCTTTTGGTTTCGTGGCAATGTCACACTGGAGATTTCAGTGCAGAATCAGGCTCCTTTGAGCAGAGTTCAGTTAGTAGGGTTGGTGTGAAAGAGTTTGTCCACTAGGAATGAGGACATTTTGGGCTACAGTTCAGGTGGTATGGTTCACAGTTGAAACCGATCCTAACTTGATGATGTATACTTTGCATTTTGCAATCTTTGCATGCTCCCAGTTACATTATATAAAACTATAATATAATCATAGTATGATGCATTCCTCCTGTTGCTTGTCTATAAATAAATTGCTTTCAGAGTACCTCACATTCTTTGCATCTCTTGCATCCATTGATCTGTGCAAATAATTCACAAATACTTCAATAATACAGTGAACTTGGTGTCTTTGCCTCCTGAGATACAGTAGTAAATGGTTGCAGCTACATACTCCTAATGATGATGCAAAAATACCACAGTTAACAACCAAATAACATACAATGAAAGAAGACCTGTGGGGACAGAAGGATGTAGGTGGATTTGAACTCGGGTTCAGATTGAGCAACTGAACCATTAAAGAAAGCAACAGAAAATAGCATTTTAAACAAGAGAGCATTTTAAACAAGTAGAGAATGAGACATATGGTAGTATGACAGAGCTATAAAGTGTCTCTTTCCATCCTATGGGAACCAGGGTCACATACATAACCGTTCCCTTTCATAGGTTCACTCAGTACATCAGTAGCTGATGCTATGGCAACACTATACCACAGTGCCATACTACAAAGAGATTGCCAGTTTATCTGCCTGTGAACACATACAGGCTTAAAAAAGGAAAATGAACTGACACGTGTTCAGACAGATGAACCTTGGGAACCAGTAGTCAAGTCCATGTCCAGATTATTAAATCATACAAATTTCCTCCAAAGATGAACCCTTAGATAATGCTTGTAGAAGTGTGACCCTGAATCCCAAGAGGCAAAATTAACATGCATGCCTCATAAACAAGAGAAATCACATCCTTCACCAAATGCAACATCTTTTGTTTCCTAGCAGCAACACCCCTGTGGCGGCCATCAAAGCAAGCAAACAGCTGATCATATTTATGCCACTGGTTTGTGCATTCAATGAAAATTCGTAGGAAAAAGCCAATGCAGTCTTTCAGTCTTCTGCGACTCAAAGGGCGAAGGAGAAACACTACATCCTGAGAGTCAAATAAAATGAAAGCGACCTTAGGTAAGTAACCTAGGTTGGTTGCAACAAAACCTTCACCAGACCAGGAGCAAAATCCATATAGGATGGGCTAACCAATCAGACCTGTAAATCGTCAACCCAACAACAATGTCAATGTCAAGGCCAACAACAAGACCATGACGCGATTAGTTTAGCAACAGGATTGGGCACCCCTATTCTAGCATATCTCTGCTCCACCAAGCTAGAAAAGGCCTAACAGGTAATCCTTAAAAAATGGTGAGGCAAATGAGCACTACAACTAGCCGAGAAGCATTAGTCAACTGTGCTTCTAGCTGGGCTGGGGCTGGCTCCTGCCAGTCCAAAAAGCTCTTCGTAAGCCAGAGAGCGAAGCACTTTCACTAGGGGTGCTTTTGCATA